GGGTTGGGGCCCTGTGAATTGTGGGGGGTAAGAACAGGACTGTGAGTGCTCCCCATGCCCTCTCAAGGCGATCTGCACCTCCAGGAATGGGGACAGTGGGCAGGGACCCCCCTCATCTGCAAGAGATGGCTGTTGCCTGTCCACACACCCCCAAATATCTACACACTGACCTTGCCTCTGGACCAGGAAGATCCCACCTCAGTGACCTCGGGGCAGGGGCAGGGGGGCGAGGGGCTGCCTGGCTGTGGTTGGGGACGGCACAGCCACCCCGGCAGGCTTGGGGAGGACTCCCAGTTTCCGTGCACGCTCTGGCCTCCAACACCCCTCTCGGAGCACTTTAAAGACGAATTCTTGTTTTTGTGATTTACAAACATATCCAAACATCCTCAGACAATTAAAAGAAGACAATTTAGATCTCTAGGAAGCCCATCAACTCAGCGGTATCCCCTGGTAACATACTGGTCTTCATCTTTCTTGACAGATTTCAGTATATGAGTTTATAACATCATTATACATGCCATTTATCATCTGCTTTATTAGCTCAATAATAAGTTGTTCTACATTGCTCTACAATGTTCTACAGCAATAAGCGTAGAATTATATGTCCATTTCTATCAGCGTCATAGTGTTATATAGAATAACATATTTAGGGACACCTGGGTGGCTCAGTCGGTGAAGCGTCTGCCTTCGGCTCAGGTCATGATCCCGGGGTCCTGGGATCGAGCCCCGCATCGGGCTCCCTGCTCAGCAGGAAGTCTGCTTCTCCATCTGCCCCTCCCCCCACTATGCTATCTCTCTCTCTCTCTCTTAAACGAATAAATAAAATCTTTTTTTAAAAAGCAGAATAACATTTAACTAGTATATGGTTGATTGCCAAATTGCTTCTAACTTTTCACTATTATAAACAATACCACCCGAACCCCTTTTCGATTTGTCTAGGTAACTCCTTAGGGTAAATTTCTTTTCTTTTTTTCCACAGAGAGAGAGAGAGCATGGGGAGGGGCAGAGGGACAGAGGGAGAGAATCTCAAGCAGACTCTGCACTGAGCGTGGAGCCTGATGTGGGGATCGATCCCAGGACCCTGAGATCATGACCTGAGCTGAAACCAAGAGTCGGATGCTTAACCAACTGAGCCACCCAGGCACCCCTCGTTTCATTTTTTTTTTTAAGATTTTATTTATTTATTTATTTGACAGAGAGAGAGACAGCGAGAGAGGGAACACAAGCAGGGGGAGCAGCAGAGGGAGAAGCAGGCTTCCCCGCAGAGCAGGGAGCCTGATGCGGGGCTCGATCCCAGGACCCTGTGTTCATGACCTGAGCCAAAGGCAGCCGCTTAACGACTGAGCCACCCAGGCGCCCCCCTCATTTCATTTCTTATTAGCTTGTAAGAGATGTTTTCAGATAAGAAACACTGACCCTTTTCCTATTTTTGTTCCGACTATTGTTCCCCATCGAGACACCCATCTTGCAATGATGCATCTGGTGTCTCTCATCCTCCAGAAACTTTAAAATCAAACTTATCAAGGCTTCCTTTTATGATTTCTGGTTCCGTAGCAAACTTAGAAAGTCTTTCCTCACCCATGATCATTTTAAGAAGAAAAGTATCCGTAGTTGCTTCTGGTATTTCTCTCTACTTTCATGTTTTAAAGTTACATCTTGGCTGTAGCTGGAATGTGTTTTCCTGGGAGACTGGGATCCATCTAGGTAGTTCTTCAAAGTGACCAGGCAGGACCATGAAATGAGTAGCCCATCTTCCGTGCTGATCTGAACCACCACCACTGGCATCTCCTAAATTCCCAAGTGTACTAGAGTCTAGCTCTGCTGGGATCACTACTGCAATTATCCTGATTGTAGTAATCCACTTCCTTGCTTCATCCCCACCAGCCTGGGAGCCAGTTGGAGCCAGGGACTGGGTCCAGTTCCCCATGGCGCTGGGTGCAGACGCACGACCACCTCTCACCTCCCACGGAGGACGTGCACGCAGAGGGACGGCTTCACAGGCTCACGCTCCCAAGGCTGACTCTTGTTTGCATTTCAGGCTGGGTGAGCCCGCCCCACCCCACCCCACCCCCCCGCAGAAGTCTCCCTGAGTGTTGGGGCACGTGGAGCAAAGCCCTGGTCGATTATTTAATCACTTCATGGGATGGACAGTGATTATAAGTCTCCTCCGGGGGAAAACACCAGAGTCTAGTCTGAAATAGGAACTGTTGATTTTTTGTTTCTTTCAACTTCACATCATTTGATACTTTGAAACATAGGGTGACAAAGTGTTGGATGGGACAGGAAGGAGCTCAGTATGAAAGCGAGGAGCAAGGATAAAAGAGGAGTTTCCTTGCTGTCCTGCCCTGTTTTTCCAGGACCCAGGCAGCCTGCTGGGTGGGAAGGGGTGCTCAGTCTGCGGCTGGCGGGGGGCCTCACTCCAAACAGACTTGGCCAAACCCAGCACTCCTCCCCCCCACATCAGGTGACCCGCGATTCCCTGGGGTTCAGGGTCTCAGACGGCGGCACATTGAGCTCTGGGCCCCCACCCTTCAGCCACCTGCTCTGAGAGAGCTCCCACTGTTGGTTCCAGCTCTGGGTCTGGAAGCCACACTCCTCCCCCAGCCCCCGTCAGCCATTTTGAGATTGGAAGGAACGAATTGCGGCCCCTGGAACCATTGTTTCTGCCCCATCCAGCCCTCGCTGCAATCGCTGGTCATGCCAGGGGCTGACACTGGCGAGGTGGCCTCATTCTGTGTGTGATTCCCATGCTGAGGCCACCTGGCAGGATGCTGAGGAGTAGTACATGGAATCCCGAGGGGAGGAGGGGACGGGAAGCCCCTGCCAGGTCCCTCCAGTCTGAGGGTCTCGGGTTCTGTGGCTTCCAGAGGCGAAGGTCTCGCATGTCCCGCCGTCCCCAGTCGGTGGGCCACAGAGGATGGGACCCTGAGGCGGGGACAGAGGCACCGCAGACGGCCACCAGAGGGCGTGCCCCGTTCTCCCTGAGCCGTGGGGCCTCTGCACCGCCCAGACCCGAGGAGCGTGGCACCTCCCCGGGGCAGAAGGAAGGCCAAACAGACCTCCTGCCCCTCTCTGGGTGGAAAGACAGTGACAGAGCCAGGGGGAGAATGTGGGCGGAGGGAAGTAGGCAGGTCCACAAGCCCTGGGGTGGGGCCCCAACTTGGCTCTCCACCCCCGCCCACTGCTATCTGCCACTCTCCAAACACTCCGGTCTGTCCCTGTTCCCTCCACTGTGTGAACTCCTACACATCCTTCAAGGCCCAGTTTAAACACTAGTACTGCACCTCCCAGCCCTGCCACTCCTATGCTCTCACGGGGAGTGCTCACTGATTCTGAGACCAATGACAGGTGCCCTTCTGTCCCGGAGAAGGCGGGCTCCACATCTGAGTAAGGACCTGTGCCAGGCGCCGAAGATCACCTGCACTGTGGCATATGCTCTCACCTTCCTCCCACGCTCTGAGAGACTCCGCCGAGGGCAGGTGCTGGGTCTGAGCCTCGCCGGGCCGGTGCGGAGCCTGGCAGACAGGCCCTCCGGTTTGTTGGAAGGAAGCCTATGTCACTCACTTCTCTCTGCGAATGGCTCAGCTTCTTTTCTCGGTCAACACACACCTACCAGGCATTTTCCATGGTGTCCAGGGTGGAGTGGGTGCCCCGTCCCCACGGGGACAGCGGACCGTCACAGTGGCGGCTCCATGGCTCAGTCCCTGGGGCACCTCGGCATCACCAGTGAGCTCACTTACTGTGCAAGCAAGGAAACCGAGGCTCAGGCAGGGGAGGGGCTTATGCAGGATGCTGTCGGCCAAGTGCACGTGGGGTTCTGGCCCCCGGAGCCCCAGGCCTGGGCCTGGTGTGTCCTGTGCACGTGGGGTGGGGGGCAACAGGTCTCTTGAGAATGCTGTGTCACCTAATGCGGGCTGGCCCCAAGCGTTACTGAAACCACTTACTGGTGAAGCAGTGGGATGCAAACCGAGGAGTTGTGGCCTTGGTGGCTGACGATCAGCTCTACCCACAGAAGCACATCTCAAAAGATCATTTTGAATTTGATCTCAGGGGGGTTTGAGCAGCTCAGCTTTGGCTCAACCCTCCTAAGAGAGAGCACAGAGTTTGCACATGGACAGACCTGGGCTCAAAGTCCTGCCCCGGGGGGCCACGCATGCGCCTACTCCAGCCGTGACCTGGCAGAGCTTCGGTGGGCTCACCTGAGAGGTGGAGGTGATAACCCCCCAGGCCCATGGAGATGTGGCCAGACAGGGGTGGGCCCTGGTCCCTGCGGGTGCCCCAAGTCTGAGTCCAGGACCACTGGGCCGGCAGCTGGACGGTGGCCCCAGTACAGTGTCTGCGACCTGGAGATTCGCACACCCTGCAGATCAGGAATCCTGCAAGCCAGTTGATAAGCACGTACCAGAGAGCCTAGGGTAGCATCGTTACCATGGAGAGCCGAAATACCCTTTCTCCTCGGGCAGACACAGTGCACCCTGTGCGTGGCTATTTTTATCACCAGAATGCTCATTTCAGTCAGAACGGTCAATTCAACAAAATGGTTGGTTGGCTCCCCGCCCCGGCCCCCGCCGAAAGCGGCCGTGGGCACTGCTGGGGACTGTCGACCCTGCAGGTGGAGACCCAGCCCCCCAGGACGGCATGGGCCCGTGTCTGGAGCAGCCTGCCCGCACACAGTGACAGCAGAAGCTGGCTCGGCAGCCCCTGGGTGGGCCCGGGCATCCTCCAGCGGCTCTCCGTGGGGACGCTCTGTCTGTCCCACACGAGCCCATATGGGTGGGAGCCGGCGTCTTCGTTCTTGGAGCCCCGGGCCCGGCTGCTGCAGCCAGGAATGCATGGCCAGGCTCATGGGCGGGGACCCCACAGACACCCCGTCCACCCTGCCGAGCCTGCCCCCCGGCCTGACCCCCCACACCAGGTCGTCCTCTGCGGGGCCTTGCAGGAGGAGGTGCTGGCTCCTGGGACCCGGGCAGCCAGTGTCCCTGGCAAAGGGATGGGCTGCCATGTGGGCCCCACGGCCTCCCCCCGCCCGACGGCTGAGCAGGAAGGGGAAGTGTGGTCTGGCTGAGGCTCACTGCTCCAGGGTGGGCGGGAGGCCTGTGGGCGAGGAAAGCCTCCTGCTAGCTGCCTCTGAGCCACTGCTGTCCCCTCAGCCGCTCACGGATGGACACCCTGGCAACCCAGGTAAGCGTCTGGGCTTGAGCCGCCTGAGTGCCGCCTGGGGCGGGCATGGAGCCCGATCTCTCGGTGGCCTTGGCAAGTCCACTCTGCGGCTCACTGGCTGGGGAGCTCAGAATCACTGCACCCCTCTGGGCCTCCATTCTCCCGCGGGTCTGTTGGGGGGTTGAAATGACATAATGTTGGGCCACGAGCTGTGTCAACCGTAGAGAGGTGGTTAGCCTTCTCTGGACTCTGACAGTGAGTCTGGGGAGCTGATAACTGGGAGGACCCTAGTGGGTCCGTGCTGGGGGTGAGGGGGCGAGGCGGTGACAATGCAAACCTTGGGCTGCATCTTGGGGCCCGTGCAGGAAACACCTAGCCGGGTGCGTCTAGCATGTAGGGACCGGTAAGGCATCCCCTGTTCCCGTGGCCTCGGGGTCAAGCTGTGCCGGCCTGGGGTCAGATCCCCATCCAGCCCCCTGCTGCTGCCCTGGGAAATCACCGTGGACAGGGCCTGGCCTGGTGTTTCCAGTCCCACCCTGTCACGCATCGCTTGTCCCGAGAGCCACTCCCTTTCCTGGCCCTTGGCCGCCAGCATGCGGCCCTCCTGGGGAGCTTTGAACGTGGGACCACCGAGCCTGGTGAAAACAAGGCCTGGGGGGGGCCTCTCGGTATTTCTTAGGATAAATGAAAACTTCAGGGAAACAGGGGAAAGAACGACCCCACATCCCACAACCTCGCAACAACCACGGTAGAGTTTGGTGTTTTGCCTTCTAGTTTTTCCCCTACGTGTAGATAGTTTGAAAAGTTACCGCTGTCTTATATTGATTAAATACGTTCTAGAGAGGACGTGTGGGTCTCACTGGCTGTCGGCAGACCCCCCCACCTGCTGATGGCCCCGGCACTGTTCCCAGACAGCCCCCAAGGGACAGGGCTCTAGGTGTCCTGTTCATGCTCAGAGCCAAACACATAAGAAAACCAGCAACAGCGCGAGACGACTCGGTTGGACCCAAGGAAGGACTTCTGGGTTGCAGAAATCCTGGGATAACTTAGCAGAAAGCTTGAGTCATCCGCAAGTCCAGAAGGTTCTGCCCAGGGCAGATGCATCACACCCAAGGCCGCGGAAACGCCGCAAAAGCCACCTGTTGGGGTGGGGTGAGCGGAAGCTCTTTTTAGATGTGATACCTGGAGTCTTGGCAACGTGTTCGGTTCATGCTCCATGGCAAGGCTCGGCGGGAGAGTGAGAGAGGAGGCTCCTGCCCTCGCGCAGCCAAAGATCTGTGCTCTGGGCTTTCTCGCGGCGGTCTCCGGCCACACACACAGGGAACGCGGGGAACACGGAGAACAGACGCAGCTGCCGCGGAGGCACAGGCCCCGCTCTGCTTTCTCAGGGTCTGAGGTTCCCGGCAGGTTCCTGGGTCTCTTCCTTTCTTCCCGCCTTGTGACTGTGGCACGTGACCCACGGAGTGGCCCTGTGCAGTTCTCTCCCGCCACCCCCGTCCCACACTGCCCGCGAGGGGCCCCCCGCTTCCTTACGCTGAAGTCTGCAAGTTGTGCCTCTGACTTTTACTTCCTTTGGGCTACTTCTCGGGCTGTTTTTCTAGGAATGATATTGCAGAATCAGAGGACAGGACTGTCTATTACTACGTGCTTCCCCCGCCCCCGGAAAGTTTTAAGTTTACTTAGTTAAGTAATCTCGACACCTGACACGGGGCTTGAACTCATGACCCCCCGCCCAAAATCAAGAGTCGAGGGCTCCACCAACGGAGCCAGCCGGTCAGTCCTAAGGATCTGAGTGTGAGCAGGGGCACAAGAGGGAAGAATTTCAACTGGGGGGAAAAATTAAAAGAGAGGGGGGAAAAAAGAAGCTGGAATTAATTTTAATCATATTTAACTTAACCCAACATATCTCAAGTATCCTTCCCACAAGTAACCCAGATAAACATTTATTAATGATCTTTTATGTTCTTCCTTCCACACGAAGTCTTTGAGACCCAGCAGGTGCCCAGTGCCTCGTGGGGCCAGTGGCTGCCATCCCGGGCAGGGCAGGCCTCGGGTAAGGGGATGCGTGTCCAAGGCACGACACCGTAAGGGCAGAGGGCGAGTGCAGAGCGGGATCCCCATCCTCCCGCCGAGCCGTTTGCAGGTGCACCTCCTTGTACAGAGACACTGGAGGCCCCTTCCAACTCCAGCTGGAACCCCAAGCCCCGGGCTCCAGCACACCTGCGTCCTCTCCCCACCTTTTGAGATTCTTGGCTACTTGAGATCATTAATTTTTCTCGAGGAAAAACACAAGTTTTTATATCCAGGACCTGACCATTAGTGGGTCTTGAAGGAAACACAGGGGCTCACGCTCCGTGTTTTTTTCCATGAGCTCGGCTAGACAAGGCGGGAAAACACTGGGGCATGTCATGTGTCCGAAACACAGCTCGTCGTGAAATGTTTCATGGATGCGCCTGTGGAGTGTGTTCCTCCACGATAGAACTTGGTTGTTTTGGGGGTTTTGTTTCTTTTTTAAAAAGCAAGTGCTGAATAAACCCACAGTCTCCGGAATTCCCGGCAAGGGCACGGTATGAGTTCTGTCCCTGACTCCCCAGAAATGCCTTTTGGGGAAGTGAGAGCCGGGGCTGGGTCGGTGACTGTGCTTGGCTGCCCTCCCGCCCCGGCCCACTCAGCACAGCAGCGGGCTCCCCGGGAGGTTGTGTGGGCTGCTGGAGTGAGGCCGAGAGAGGCCAGAGAGAAGCTGGAGCTCCACCCGCAGCATCACAGGGGCCTCTATTTCCCAGCAGGTGGAGAGCCCAGCGGCGAGGCCGGGCTGCCCACCTGCCCACATCCTCGGAGGGTGAGTCCGGCCACAGGCCGGGGGAGAGCCTGGCACCTCATTCATTCCGAGATTCCCAGATCCGTGGGGAGCGCCTCCTGGGCCCTGGACACAGTGGTAAAGACAGACGGTGAACTAAGCGACCAATAGGCCCCAAGGGGGGGCGGCAGCATCAGCGCGCGTGGAAGGACGTGGTCCTCCCAGAGATGACCACGCGGTCTGCCTCCCACCCGCCCCGCCCAGCGCCCGCCGACTTTGTCTCCTATTTCAGACCGAAAGATCAGGGGTGTTGGCCCCCCACTTCCTGCCCGCGGGCCCCAGCATCTCCCCTCTCCATCCTTGCTCCCTTTTAAAAGTTCATCCTTCCTTCGGCCCAGCCGGGAAGATGTCTGTCTTCGCTGTATTTCACTCCAGTCTTGCGTCCCAGCACCTTCTCGGTTTAGAACCGCGGAGAAGCCTCTCACAGTCTAAACAAGCCATCTCTCCTCCGACTCAGCGTCCAACCTTCTCTTGCCTTCTGGGGCTTCATCACTCTGATGGGGAGCAGGGCGGGGTCACTAGCAGGAGGACAAGCTTGGATACGAGAGTCTTTGTTCCTAGTCACATTCACTTATATCCTCGGGGGACTTTGGAGGAGGTCCTAGGATGCCCCTGCTCTTGCCAATGCCCTAGGGAATCCAAGGAAGGAATCCAATGCCCTGAGGAGCCAAGGAAGTCATTCACACCCTAGTAAAAATTAGTTCCTGTTCCTCAGAGTCTGGCACTCTCAGGCAAATGAGTTTGAATGGTGAGGAAGTGGGGAGAGAGGGAGCTTGGAACTTTGCAGTGACTTGTGGATGATGGACTTTCAGACATTGTGACAAGCAAACAGGAAAGGTACTTGGGTCGAGGGGTCTTTTTTATTTTTTTTATTTTTTTTTAAAGATTTTATTTATTTATTCATGAGAGACAGAAGGAGAGAGAGAGGGAGAGAGAGAGAGAGAGAGAGAGAAGCAGAGGGAGAAGCAGGCTCCCAAGGAGCAGGGAGCCCAATGCGGGACTCGATCCCAGGACCCTGGGATCATGACCTGAGCCGAAGGCAGACACTTAACCATCTGAGCCACCCAGGCGCTCGAGGGGTCTTTTTTAGCACCTTGCCCTCCACCACGCTGGAGCTGCTGCCGCCTCTGACTGTGGGGGTGGGGCCGGGGCGGGGGGGACCAGCCTCCCGCGTGCTCACCCAGCCCAGCTGCGGGCTCTGCTGTCTGGCCCGATACATGCTCCCCCCTGGGGCTGAGCCCCCTGCACTGCTTGTTAAAAATGCTGATCCCCGAGTGCCACACTGGACCCACCAACCAGAACTGGCTGTGGGGAGGGGGCCTGGGACCCTGGCATCTGCATTTTCATACACCCCACAAAGCCGCCGATCACTGGTCACAAGTGAGGGCCCTGGGGTCCCAAAGACCAGGGTCTGGCTTCTGATTTCTCTACTTAATAGCTCTGCGACCCTGGGCCAGTGACTGAGATCTAAGCCTCTATTGCCTTATCTGTAAAATGGACTCATAACCACAAGCTGCCATTGTGAGAGCGCCTATAACCCATGGCGCCTTAGCACATGGCGCGTGTTACTTTTCTGAGATGCATTTTCATATTGCGGTTCTTATTATGTGGAACAAGACATAGCTAATGGCTGAGACCTCGCCAGTATTGGAAGTTCTCGAACGAGGGTTCTGCTTTCAGTTCTGTTATGAAAGGAAAAACATTTACCAGCTTGGTGTCAGCCTGGCTGAGTTAACGGGGCAGGAACTCAGGCGACGGACGGCACCGAGCTGAAATCTTAGGTTAGTCGATCCCTAGCCGTGCTGCCTTTAGCCAATAGCTTAACCTCTCTGAGCTCTCTATTAAGGGTAATAACAGCACCCCCACCAGGGAGCTTATAATAAGGATTCAGAGATAACATGTACATCACTGGTTCCCAACCTTGGCCCTGTATTACTTATCTGGACAATTTCATTAAGACAAATAAACAAAACCCCAATGGCCAGGCCCTCCACCCCAGATCAATTAAATCAGAGTCTCGGGTGTAGGCCATTGTTCAAGCTCCCCGGGTGATTCCAAGGTTTAGGCAGGGTGAGGGCGGGGAACTTCGATATTCCCCGAGTTCTTGGCCCAGGGCCTGATGCATCCAAGCTACTCTACAACTGATATCCGAGGGTGCTCCCCCCACGCCTCTTCCCTTCCTTCCTCCGGTGTGGTGGTCACGAAATGCTCCCCCAGGTTACAGGACCTGGGGTCAGGCCTGCAGCTCCTGACCTCCCAGCAACTGGGACCCCCAGGCCTGCACCTGTGGGGGTGCAGGGACAGCCCCTGTCCCCTCCCCGAAGCCCCGGGACTGCTGACCTGGGCCCACGTTGGCTCCTCTTCTGGTCCACACTGGTCTATACTGGACTGTAGGACCCCCCCGCTCTGGCTCATGGGGCCCTGCGCTACCTGTGAGCTCCAGTCCTGCCTTGAGAACCTTCCTGTGTCCTCAGACTCTTGAAAACAAAGATGTTCCCTCCCATGCAACAGACACTTCCCAGAAATAGAGACCCGTGTCCGTCCCCGGCCTCCCAACGAGGTCAGCAACGCCGGGCACCGTGTGGTGGAATTCTGTCGAAGATGGCAGAGCCATCCCTCCCGTTTCCCCCTTTTCTTCCTGACTCTCTGGAGGCAAAATAGAAGATGTTGAATGCATAAAGCATAAACAAATGCATAAATGCATAAAGTGCATGGAAGCACTTTAGCGAGCGTCTCATCTCACTGAGCTGAGATCCGATCCTGGATCCCAGGTGGGTTGTGCGGTGAGCCTGCCTGAGGTGTCCGAGGTGTCGGGTCCCAGGGCAAAGGGGGATGGAGGGCGCAGGTGGAGTTAAGGTTGCTGCTCAGCAGCGGGGGAGATGGGGAGATCATGCTGGATCATCGCGTGTCGCAGGCAGGAACGTGAGTGTCCTCTCGAGGCCGAACAGAACAGGGAAATGACTCATCCATGGAGCCTCCAGGAGGGGACACGGCCCTGCCCGCCCTTTGGTTTTACCCTGTGCCAACTGGAGGGACTCCTGACCTCCTCGACTTCGAGACAAGACGTTCGTGCCGTTGGAAGCCTCTGCACTCCTGGGTACATGCTAGAGCGGGAAGGGGCTACAGCCTGCTTCTGACCCCTGCCTGCACTCCCACCTTGCTCCAATTCCAAAATGTTAAGTTACTTTTGATTCTTAAGCAGACTCAGTGCAGTTTGCAAAATTTAGCCGTGCTCACTGTAAACCTTCAGTCTTGTCTCTGGCTCAAAGCACCCCCACGTTGCCCCAGTGAGGGGAGGGGAGGAAGGGGTGGGAGCCCCCTCAGCTCCCCTGCACCCCACCCTGCACTACTTCCCTGGTATTGCACTGAGGACAGACAGACAGACAGGCCCCCCACTGGCCATACTCCCCACCGCCGCTCCTCTCTGGCAACACTCGGGCCACTAAACTAACCGGGAGCCCAGAGGACACCCAATGGGGACAAGATGTGGTTCCTTGGGGCCTTCCTCGCTCAGCTGCCTTCTCCCAAAAAACAAGCTCGTCTCGGCTCTGTTGAGCAGGCATCTCTCCAGTCCATGGGGAAGAGTGCTGTTTCTCTGGCCATGGAACCCCTGGGGGGCTTGGGACTTTGATTCATGGCCCCCACCACCTCACTACCATCGCTACGCTCCCGAAAGCAAGGCATCCTGAGCCCCACGCGGCCTGTCCCTGATGCCTGGGGCCATGGTGACCGAGGTCAGCAGCGGGAGGCCTGGGAGCTAGACAGAAAGCATTCTGCCTCCTCCTTGCCGGGGGACCTTGGGCAGGCCCTGTCCCCTCAGCTTCCACACCCGGTCCGGGAAAGCATGTGCCACAAGAATGAAGCGAGGGGAGAATGGGAAGCCCCTGCAGACTGCATGTGCGCTGGACACCCTCAAAACGTCTGCTGGCAAATCAGAGCCGCTCTGTCTGTAAGAACAGAACTGTGAGCGAAGTTCTCAAAAGTGTCCCATGTTTCATTTTGCTAACGTCATCCTTCTTCCTCTTTCTTCCCCCGGACACAGAGGACAATGACATTGCTTTGAACTTGAAATCTGAGCAGCAGCTTTTCATGGAAGCTACACTGTGTGGTTAACTGGGGTTGTTTTTTTTTTAATCTTCTCAAAGAAAATACACATGGTGTTTTTTGGGTTTGGGGGGGAGGTTTTTTTTGGGGTTTTTGTTTTGTTTTGTTTTTGTTTTCAAGGAGGCTCCACGCCCAGCATGGAGCCCAATGCAGGGCTTGAACTCACAACCCTGAGATCCAGTCAAATGCTTAACTGACTGAGCCACCCAGGTGCCCTGTAAATACACATAGTTTTAAAAAATCAAGTAATTCAGAGGGTTTACAGTGGGAAGTTGCAGACCCCTGTCTTCCCGCCTCCATCCTTGTACCCGCTCATGCTCCTCAGATCAACCTTTTTTTGTTTGTCTGTTTGTTTTTGTTTTTAATATGCAATAGCACTTAACTCTTGTGCCCTGGTATTTACTTCTGTAGTCTTAAAGATTATGTTTATGTTGCTTTTTTGAGAAATCCTTCAAGATTAAACAAGAAGACAAAAGATAGAAAATATGAGAGACAAATTAGACAAAGAACCAGGAGACACACATCTGAGTATAAGAGAATGGAGGGAAGAAAATTCTGTTTGTCCATTGTTCCATCCATCCATCCATCCATCCACCCATCCATCCATCCATCCATCCATCCATCCATCCTTCCATCCATCCATCCATCCACCCATCCATCCATCCATCCATCCACCCATCCATATCCAACCTTCCATCCATCCATCCATCCATCCATCCATCCATCCATCCACACATCCATCCATCCATTCATCCATCCTTCCTTCCATCCACTCATCCATCCCTCCTTCCATCCATCCATCCACTCACCCTTCCTTCCATCCATCCATCCATCCATCCACTCATCCATCCCTCCTTCCACCCATCCATCCACTCACCCCTCCTTCCATCCATCCAGCCACTCATCCACCCTTCCTTCCATCCATCCATCCATCCACCGACCCTTCCATCCATCCATCCATTTATCCTTCCTACCATCCATCCATTCATCCATCCATCCACCCACCCACCCATGCACCCACGCACCCATCCTTCTTCCTTCCATCCCTCCATCCATCCATCCATCCATTCCCCAGAGCTAAAGAAGGTTAGGCTCCAACTAGGTTTATTGAACAAAGAGTCCACCCTCTGATACGTGGCATTTTCTTAAGTCCAGTGCCCTGTGACTTCCCTGCGCCCTGCAAAACCAAATTTCACAGGGCTCTCCTGAGAGCCAAGTTTCTAGTCTCCATGCTTTTCCTTTTTCCCTTTGTTCTTCTTCCTCTATTGCTTTCTTCTGTGCACCATGAAAAGGTGATTTACTACCAAACCTCTGCTGAGTACATGCCTGGGGGTTGGGCTACCTGGCTAGCTGACACTTCACACTTTTAAGAGTAAACCCCCAGCACATCCACCACCATGGATAAATGACAAAAGCATAATGCTGAGCGAAAAGTTGAGCAAGAAAGCTACAGAATGACGTGCATACAGTACCGCTAGTTACATACAATTGGTTTTACTATGTATAACTTTATGAATAGCCAAAAGCCATTCTGTCTGATCAAGCCAAACCTTCATGAAAGAAACTGAGTTTGGAACTGAAAAGCCAAATTAGGATAGAATGATGGCATAACAAACAATGAATCATGGAACACTACATCAAAAACTAATGATGTAATGTATGGTGATTAACATAACAATAAAAAATTATTAAAAAAAAAAAAGAATGACGGCATAAATGAAGACACTATGCCGGTAATACAAACATGTGTGTAAATAGTAAGCCACATCAGAAGTCTTTGCAGGAATTATGGCCTTAGCAGCAGCCTAATTTTGCCCTTGTTCCTCTGCCTGGCTCCCTGTTTACATCACTAGTATTACTCCAAAGCATGAATTGGAAATGGCTCTGTGTGAGCATGCATGGGTGAGTTCCCATTAGCTAAATGATGACACAGGACGTTGATTCTCACATACCTGGACTGTGCCAGGCTCAAGGATCATTTTTTTTATTTGGATATCCAAATGAACAGGCAGAGTGCCCATGGCCTGGATGAGGGGGGCCCCCGCTCCTCCCCCAAGAGCTTCCTGCCTTCCTGGAGGCTACTCCTAGGAATTGCAGACTGGATGGTAACGGAAGATTGTAGCACAACATTGTACAGCCAACTGCTTCAAGTTAAATGTTAGTCATCACTGTCCTACAAAAGCGTGGTCATCCTCCACCACAGGGACTTTCTAACAATCCTCAAACTTCCTGCTCTCTTACTGTTCTCTTTTTTCCCCCCCTCTCTCGGCACCCCCCCCCAGCTTTACTGAGGTATAATTGACTTATAACGTTGTGTAAGTTTAAAATGTACAGTGTGTTGATTGGATACACTTGTGTATCGGGAAATGCTCAAGGTTTCTCTCACGTTGTGATAAGAACATTTAAGATCTGGGCGCCTGGGTGGCTCAGGTGGTTAAGCGACTGCCTTTGGCTCGGGTCGTGATCCCGGAGTGCCAGGATTGAGTCCCATATTGGGCTCCCTGCTCAGCGGGGAGCCTGCTTCTCCCTCTGCCCTTCACCCCACTTGTACTCTCTCTTCAAATAAATAAATTTTAAAAAAATTAAGATCTGCTCTTCCCAGACTCTCTGCTTCCCGAGTGGACCAGCTTTCAGCCCCCAAATTCCTGTTCCTTCTCCCCAGCAGACTAACTCAATTTGCCTTGCATTTTTACCTTCCCCCTTCTGACCACGCCTCGCTCAAGGAGACCCATCGAGGTATTTTTCTAACCCCCACCTCAAAAAAAAAAAAAAAATAGGAATTAAGTCTATGTTGCCCCTTCGATATAAAAGCACCTGCAGTCGGTGATTGCTTTCAGCGGCGTACCCCCCTCCCCTGCGTGTTTGACAATCCAGGAAAGAACAGCGAGGAAGGCTCCAGGTGTGTACCCTATCTGCAGCGCTCATGACTGCCCTGGGAAGCGCAGGCCGGCAACACCCCCCCAACGCCCCGATGTTGCACAGGAGGATAAGCCTTGCCAGGGGTCTCCCAGCTGCGGATGGGCAGGCTTTGCCCGAGCCAGCATCTGCCTGAGCCCCTAAGCAGGGGTATCCCCCCGGCGACGTGGTAGACAACGGCCCCCACCCCGCCCTGCCGATGCCCCTACTCATGTCTCGTTCCTCTGTCTCCATTCTCCTCAGGGCCCCACTGTGATGGATTGGTGGAGGGACAATTTCTGGATCATCCTGGCTGTGGCCATCATCCTTGTCTCCACGGGCCTGGGCCTCATCCTGTACTGTGCCTGTAGGCAGCTGCTAGGACAGGGTAATGGCCGTCTCACCTGGGCAGGTGGAGGGCAGGGAGGGCTGGGCTGCATATCCGTGCACCAGGGCTCCTACAGGGCAGGAAGATTCGTTCCGGGCCTGTATTGGCTGCATTTTGGATTAAGCATCATGCATCTCTTCCCCATCTGCTCAGTCCACGGTCGACACACTGGCCTTCTGTGAGGTCATCCTCTGAATGTTCTAGTATGACAGAGGTTCCTGGCATGCTCCGAATACAAATGAGCAGCTTCCTGAAGGCTCTAGGCTAACTTTACATTGTCTACAAGTGGGTTTCCACTTTGCTGTTCATCTCCCAAAACATGAAATCCTTGATCCGATGGTGTGTTTTCTCGAGATCGTATCCCCTCCGATGACCTGAAAGGTCAGGGCCGCACAAGGAGTGAGACCTTGTCATTCTCCTCAATCTGTTTTTGGAGACAGACAATTAAGGTTCAGAGAGAGGCAAAGCCTTGACTGAGGCCTCATAGGAGTTAGTGGCCGAGTTGGGACCGGAACTCGCGTCCACTGGGGCTCCTGCCCAGTGTTCCTTCGCCTCTACTCCTTGATGGTAATTAGGGTTTTTTTTTAAGATTTTTTTTTTATTAGCGAGAGAGAGAGAATTGGGCGGGGAGGGCGCAGAGGGAGAACCAGACTCCCTGCTGAGCCGGGAGCCTGTAATTAGTTTTTTTTAAGTACAAATCATATTCTGGCTCCTAGACTCCCCTGCCCATTTGCCTTCTTAAACTGTTTCCTTTTTAGATATGCACAAAAGCTTGGCCCTGAACAAAAACCTTACCTGTTCTCTTTTATCTCGACCCAAGGCTATTAACACGTAGGTTATCATTCACAATAACTTGCATGCCTCGCACACCACAGTTCACAAACTGCTGTCCCCATTCTTTCTCTCATTTCCCCCCAAACCACACTTTGGGCTCCTCATCCGACCACTATTTCTGAGCACCGGCTCCGTACTCGGCAGGAGCTGAGGAAGGAAGCAGGGTCCACCCTCAGGGATTTGCGAAAGGCTGGGTGGGCAGAAGGCCCGTGGTAAAGTCAGTGTCCACCGCTCACCAGCCCCGCGTCCCCAGGTCTGTTTCTTCTTGGTGGTTCTTTCCCCAAATGCCCTGAACACACCTGGTGTCTGAGGACTTCTAAACTGTGAAGTCACACCTCCTGCTCATGCTTCCTAAATGGATATGCTTATTTGATTCCTTAGGCAAGAAGTGGGAAGTTGCCAAGCCCTGGGAAGAAAAGCCAAGAGATGAAGAGAAGATGTATGAGTAAGTAAAAGGAAAGCCTGGTCCTTTGGTAGAGATGACAGGTCAGGCTCAGTGTGCTGGGCCCACCACTCAGGGTTAGGTCTACCCTCCTTTTCTTTTAAGATTTTATTTTTATAAAAAAATAATAAAAAAAAATAAAAAGATTTTATTTTTAAGTCATCTCTACCCACAACATGGGGCTCGAACTCACACCCCCAAGGTCAAGAGTGGCTCGCTCCACCGACTGAGCCAGCCAGGGGCCCCGCTTCCTTTTCTTTAAATGGATCTCAAGTATAGTCCCCTTAAGGCTGTGTGCTTCACGAAAATATGCCACTCACTTTCCTCTTGTATTTTATGATATATTTGGGGTTTTTTTTAAGATTTTATTTATTTCACAGAGAGAAAGAGAGAGAGTGCACATGCACGAGCAGGGGGAGGGGCAGAGGGAGAAGCAGGCCCCCCACTGAGCAGGGAGCCCCGTACAGAACATGGTCCCTGGGATCATGACCTGAGCCGAAGGCGGACACTCATCTACTGAGTCATCCAGGTGCCCCAGTTTGGGGCTTTTATGATTGCTATGTGTTGGGGGTGCCCAGGATCACCTTCAGACTTGATGACTCACGAGAAGGACTCCCAGGACCCAGAAAAGCTACTATGTGACAGTTACGGGTCATTCCAGCAGAAGGGTACAGATTAACTCAGCAAAGGGAAGGCAAATAGAGTGGAGGCCTCTCCCAGCTCGATCTCGGGCACCAGGCTTCTTTCTCCCAATATCCATGAGTGGGCACCATGTGCAAAGCTTCGCCAGCCAGAGAGGCTCACCGAACCTTGGTTTCAGCCGTACAGTGGACAAGTCCATCCTGGCCTCTGAAAGGGCTGGAGATGGGGTAGATATTAACTAGTGCTTGGCTTCTTCTGCTCAAAGGCTTTGTGAGTGTCCTTGCGTGTGGTTGTAGACGGTTCATCCTCACTTCTGTAGAGTGTTCCACGGTGGGAGTGGACCGTGATGAATTTATCTACTCTGGGCCTGATGCGCATTTGGGTGGTGCCCAGTTTGGGGCTGTTGTGCATGGCGTCGTGATGGACATTCTGGTCAACCCTGTCCTTCTCTCTTTGATGTTTTCCTTCCCGTCGGCTGACAGCCGGGATGGTCAAAAGCACACCCTGACTCCTTTTCTCTCTCTGTCCAGGAATGTTAATGAATCGCCGGTTCAGTTACCCCCTCTGCCACCCAGGGGTTTGCTTTTTCCGGAACATACTCGTAAGTATCTGTCGCTGACAACAGTTTCATTCAGGGTAGGATAACAAATTTATCTAAATGTCTTAGCTCAGGCTGCCCACAACAAAATACCACAGGCTAGGTGGCTTGAACGACAGAAATTTATTTTCTCATGGTCCTGGAGGCTAGAAGGTCAAGACCAAGGTGCCAGCCAGTTTGGTCAGGGGTGACGGGGGTAGGGAAGAGAGAGAGAGCATCCTGGTGTCTCTTCTTATAAGGACGCTAAGCCTATGTGATCAGGGCCTTACCCTTATGACCTCATTTAGCCTTAATTACCCCCCTTAGGGGCCCCATCTCCAAACACAGCCTCACTGGGGGGTTAGGCCTTCAATGTATGAATTTTGTAGGGACACAGAACTTCAGTCCATAACACTAGAATCTGCAGATGGTACCATCCTTTTGAAAGGGACAAATAAATTAAAAAGGGGGCAGAGTAAGTAGCAACACTCCTATTATTCAGTGTGTCGATTCATATTCAAATCCCAGGTTGGAGCATGAGTGAAAAGGAACTTTGGGGTGTCACTGGGCCTCCCACACTTCCCATCAGAGACACTCTGCCTGGTTTGTTCTTGACTGGAATGTTCTTCCTTAAGCTGCTTCTGTAGTGGCCTCTTACTTCATCCTTCATGGTCAGCGCAATTGTCAGCACCTCGGGGCACCTGGGGGGCTCAGTCGGCTAGGCATCTGACTCTTGGTTTTCAGCTCAGGTCATGATCTCGGGGTCCTGGGATCGAGCCCCAAGTCGGGCTCCCTGCTTAGTGCGGAGTCTGCTTCTCCCTCTCCCCCTACTGCTCCCCCTGCTTGTGCTCTCTCTCTGTCAAATAAATAAAACCTTTAAAAAGAAATGTCAGCACCTCAAGGAGTCCCCTCCTGTCTACCCTCTCTAAAGTGAACCCACTAATTCTCTTCATGGAACTTATGGCAATTACCCAAAGTTGTCTTACTTCATTACTGTTCATTGGTTTCTGACCTCCCTCCTCCACTAGAATACGAAGTCCAGGAAACAGGAATGTTTCTGGTCTTGCTCACCACTGTGTACCCACCACCAAGAGCAGTCAGTGCCTGCAGCTTAGGATATAATAAGGATGTCTTGATTGAGTGGATGAATTGTAAGATCAGCCCATATTTACTGAGCAGCCCACCGGGTCAGGCCCCGTGCGAGGCACGATCTCACGTAGTGCCCTCAACAACCCTGCAAGGCAGGTACGTCATTATTCCCCTTTGACGGGTGAGGACACTAAGGCACAGAGACGTTCAGGGGCTCACCCGTGGCGACACAGCGAGTGATCGCTGGAGCCTGGGTACGAACTGGGGATCTGACCGCAGAGCCCTGCAAGAAAGGAGGGGTGGTCTTCTCTCAGGTCCTTGTAGGAAGGACGAGATGGTGGTAGAGGCAGCTCCGGTCTCATCTGCGGTCCAGCTCCCTGTTTCATCTTCCTTCCCCTGGCCGCCTTAGTGTTTTTGTTACATACCGGTTCCCTAATTCCCCATTCTGCAAACACCACTGTCCCCTTCCTTCTGAACAGAGATTCGTACCTCAGTGGTTATGGGAAGTTCTGGAAAACACTGTAAGTCACCGGGAGGGAGGTGCCCAAAAAGGAAATGTGGTTTGTACCGCTTCCCCCACGAGAATGAGGGTCTCACATGACTCTACTCATTTGGGTACTGGCTCAGTTCAGCTTGTTGTCTACACTTCTGTTTCATGGTTCCCGGGCCATGGGGGGCAGACAGAGGGACACGCGAGCCACGGTGTTGGGCCAGCATCTGCCCTCAACCCGCCTGGGGGATCCCGAGGCTGTATCACGTCCGTGCATCGGTTTCCCCCGTCAGGTGGGGGTCTGGTCCACCAGGGAGTGGGAAGATCACCGGAACCCATGAAAATCATGCTGAGTCACCTCGTCAAAAAATATACAAACACACAATAGCTTCACCTCCCAGGGCCTTTTTGTGTGTTCTAGTCCCACAGGAAAGCCCAAGTCAGCCGCCGGCTACATACTCACTGGTCAACAAAGTTAGAAACAAGAAGACAGCGTCCATCCCCAGCTACATCGAGCCCCTGGACGATTATGACGATGTGGAAATCCCCGCAAATATGGAGAAGCAGCATTTCTGAGACAACCGTCCCTTCTTTCCCGGCAAGCTGAAGAGGGTTCGCACAGCTGTTTAAACCAACCGGAATGAACTGCAATAGAGAGCGGGGTCCCGCAAGCCCGCGGTAATGTGGCAGAGCTTTAGAAAATAAACACCTCCCGCAGCTTAAAGCCAGAAGCATCAGCATCCAGAGGAACAGGGGCCAAGGCTCCACCCTGGAGACCCAGATGGGTCAGGCCTAGAACCACTGTCCACGCGTCCCCCCGCCCCTGGAAAGACCTCTGGCTCCCGTGGCTCCCGTGGCTCCCCGCCCCCACCCGTGAGAAACACTCCTCCCCCCTTCTCTTCTCTTGTTTGCTCTAAGTGATGCTAAATCTTGGTGTTTGGCTGCGGAGCCTCCAGGCTCCCGTCCCCAGCTTGGTCCCAGGGGTCCCCCCCACCTCTCCTCGCCCCAGGGCTGTGGGCGGCCGTTCCAGCTGAGCGCTCGGTGTATGCAAGTCACCGCACCACACTGCAGGTTCTTCAAGAGTGAGTAGTGCTTTTTGTCCTTGTGAACTGTCCCCGCCCACACACACCCCAAACCCCAGAGCCTCTCCATGACGTTGGCTGGATGGACCACAGAGATTCAAGTTCTCACTGACTTTTTCTTGTGCTTCTCGGTGGCATTGTGATAATCAACAAGGACAGAGGTTAATCACCATCTGGACCAAAGCACACACGTTCCACGTAGCAGGGTCATATTGCGATATGTGTCCTGGGGGAGCCGTAGGAAAGGTAGGCTTCCCTGGGGAAAATCATGGACAAGAGGAAAGAAAGGGACAATTAAGTGGCCGATTCAAGAGGAGAGTTCCTTGCATCACATTCTGTGCAAATGGCACTGAGATCGCTGTCCCCAAGCGCATCTGGGAGGCAGAACTCCATAACTGTGGAGGTGTCACTGGCGAGATACAGGGAGGGGGTCGCTGTCCTGCTACAGAAATGACCTCATCCCCGAGGCCCGAGTCAGCTTGGCGGCTCTGGAACCTCATCTGTTCCTTGGCCTTGATCTGTTAGAGCCCTCGGATTGGTGCATCCTAAGCAGACTGGAGATGCGGATTTCTAAGCAATCCCTAGGGAATCCAGCAAGAGCAGGCTCTCAGGGAGAGTGACATGAACCTCAGAAAAGCCAGGAGTGACCCTTGGACTGAGCTCCTCCTCAAGAGGTGGACGGAGTGTGTCTGCTCTGTTCAAGCTTCCTCCCTCCACCACTGCTGGACCAGTGGGGACAGGTGCTTCCTCCAGCTTCTTTCTAGATTCCTGGCAGACCCCCAGCTTCCTGTGTTACCACCGCCTTATGGTAGGCCAGACAGTCCTCTAACTGTGGCCTGACGGAGCTCCAGAACCCCGGGAGCCAGAGAGGACTCGCTCCCAAAGTTACAGGGGAAAAAAAATTAGTAAGCCAAAGAACACAAGTGTTTTGCAAGTACGCTTCCCTCTTATAAATTGTCTGTAAACCCTCCCCATCTATGACAAAAGTTAGAAGCAAATACCAGAGAGGTGTTACCTCCTCCTTGGTTTCTAGGATGGCACCATCTCCTGCCGCCCTGCCCCCCGCCCCCACCCCAAGACAACTCTTCATCACAGATCTTCTTCAGGCTCTTCCTGGTACCTGCCCTCATCCCACTCGAAACACCAGCAAGGGATCCGTGGGCTCCGTGCCCCTCTATTCTCATGGCTCCAGCTGAGCCCAATCCTCGGTCCCAGACAGACTGCCCCCAGGACATGCCCCCAGCACCCCCCAACAGGCCTCTCAAGCTCCACATACCCCAAAAGGAATGACGGCCCGCCCCCGATCCCAGACTCCCTGTAATCTGCTACCTTCTCAGTCCCTGGAGTCAGAAACTGGCACAGGGTGCGGAGTCTTCCTCCTTCCCGGGGGCCCCGCTCTGTGACCGCGCCTCTCCAGCAGCCCCGGGTCAGGTAGCCTCCCGGCCAGTCTCCTACCACTAATGTCTCACCCTCCGCTCCCCTTTCTATGCGGCAGCCAGCGCTTTTCTCAAGGGGACATCTGACTGCTCCAGTCTCTTGCTTAAACCTCTTCTTCACCCATTAGCCTCAGAAAAACCCCAAAGTCCTTAACATGGGTTACGAGATTTGTCAGGATTCGGTCCCCAGGTCTCTCCTGCAACCTTCTCCCCCCCACCCCCTTGCAACTTCCACTCCAACCAAATTTTTGCTTCAGTCATTTGAAATGACCTGGTCTGGGGTCTCTCTGGCCCTATGGCTATATGCACAGTAGCCTCCCATCTGTCTAGAACATTCTTCCCCACCTTATCTTTTCCATCTCTGCTTAGGGCCTTTCCTCACCACCCCACACTTGAATCTGGTGCCCTATTAGATGCTCTCCTCCCATAGCATTAGCACCCTGGAATGACCTGTTTATCTGTCTTTCTCCCCCACTAGACTGACGGCAACATGGGGACAGGGACAGTGTCTTTCCCCCAGTGTTTTGTGTTCCTAGCACAGTGCCCAGGAACTTTGTAGATACTCAATAAACATGGCAAATGAATGATCAGTTGAATGAATGAATGAATGAACTTGGCCTTGTAGAAATACATCTCTCTCTCTCTCTCTCTGCCTTATAATTGCCTGGTTACTTCTCCATCCTCTTTCTAATCTGGGGGCTCCTCTGGGGTGGAACCTGCCTGGCTCACTGCTATAGTCCCAGTATCTAACACAAACTCTGGCACACAGCAGGCCCTTAATTAACATTTATCGGATGTTGCACATTACTAGAAAACCTACCAACCAGTTCGACAAAAGCAAACAGGCAGTTTTTCCCTGAGCATGTATGATTTGGTTGAGATTTTTTACTGGGTTTTTACCAGTTTGGTAAAAAAAGAAAAGAAAAGTTGTTACCGATTTGGACGATAGCATTAAATATATCAAGATTTGACAGGGCCTTTTGTCTATTCTAGCCCCCTAGAAGCCCCCCAAGTCAGCCACCAGCTACATACTCACAGATATATAAAGGTAAAAATAAGAAAACAGTTTCCACCCCGAGCATATGGCGTCTGAAGTTGACCATGATGATGTTTAAATCCCTACAAATATCAAAGACCATCATTTTGAAACAAGTCCTGTTCTGTCATCTGAATTCTTTGGAGAACTGGTGATCTACTCATAGTCAGTGGATTGTAGTTTTCTTTAAAACAGTTAAGTCTGATCTTTATGATACAAATACAATTGCTTTCAGGAAATGCTCTGGTATTACCAGTAACAAATTTTTACAAATCACGTGTATCAGTTAGTATGCTTCAGACTGCAAGGAACAGACTGCCCAACGATGGGGAATGTACGGCCTCACACAACAAGTCTGCAGGTAAACATTGCAGGATTCAGCAGTTCTAACACTCAGGGTCAGGGGCTGACTTTTCTTTGATTTTCTTAGTTTTACCAAGATAGCTGCCACAGCTCCAAGCATCACATCCCCACATGATAACATTTCAAGTTAGGAAAGAATGGGGCATTTCCTCCCACGTAGCTCTTTTTAGTACAGAGGACATCTTTCCTGGAAGTACCAGCGACTTTCCCTGATGTGTCATTGGCCTGGATTAGTGCACACGCCCGGCTGTGGGAAAGGCTGGGGAGTGAACATGGGGCATTTTCAGCCTTTCTCACTGGAGGTGGGCTTTGCCATCAAGGAAAAAGGAGGCAAGAGCTGCTGGATAGGCAATCTCCCTGGGTCAGTTCACTTTCACAAATACCACTATTCATTATTTGCGCTTGTTTCCGTGACCCTGCCAGGGGTCTTGGGGGTTCAGGCCAAAGTCTGGTGTCCAGATGCCACTGTTCACCTTTCTCCTCTCACAGGGTTTCCACACATCAAAAAAGACAGAGGGCTGTGGGTCAGGTGGGAATAGTAACAGTCAGATCCCTAGCAGAGCAGGAGTGCTACTCTGTGTCGGAGTTCTGAGGTTTTCACTGAACAATGTAACCATGTCCAGGAGCAGTGGGAGCTGGTGGGATGTGGTCTGAGAAGAGCTTGAGCCTCCTTCTGCCTCCTCACCCTCCTCACCCTCACTGCTCCTCCAAACCCACTTTGATGGGCTAGTTCTCCCCTGCCCTCTTGGGTGAAATCCCAGGCATGGCCTGCTCCAGCCACGCTCAGGTAGTAAGAAGTCCTCCAGGCATGGATTACACAAGTGTATGCATTTGTCAAAACTCCGGGAAGGCACACTTAAGATTTCTGCATTTCAGCCTAAGTCGATTTTTTAAAAGATTTTATTTATTTAGAGTGAGGGGGGCAGAGGAAGAGAGAGAATGCCAAGCACACTCCCCGCTGAGCGCAGAGCCCACCTCGGGGCTCGATCCCACGACCCTGAGATGGCGACCTGAGCCGAAAATTAAGATCGGACACTTAACCGACTGAGCCACCCAGGTGCCCCTCAACCTAAGTACATTTTACCTCAAAAGGAAAACTGCCAACAAATACTGAGCCACGCTTCATGATATGCACAGCACAGTGTTTAGGGGAAGGTGCACTGACATTTGCAGTTCACCTGGAAATGCACCGCAAGGCAAGGCAGCTGGAGAGCCGGCGCTTTCGGCCTAAGGTTAAAATGGACCCCCTTGCCGTCACCCCAAGTGCAGGGGGATCTGGGTCTGCAGCGCGGGCTTCATCCCACCTGCATCCTAACCTGCTCCCCTACTTCCTGGAAGAGGAAATGGGGGAGCAGGTGCACGTGGGTCAGAGAGGGGGGCTGGAGCCGGTCTCCCTGTCCAGGCAAAAATAACTCTGTCTATATTCTCAGCAAATGTCTCTGGCTCGCCACAGTCCAAGACTCCCTCCCAACCAAGGATGGCCTTTTCTGACCTTGCCTGTGGCCCTCTCCGGAGCTGCGTGGACCAGGGTCGGGGCACTGCCCTGGGGGGTGGCCCAGCCACGGCGCCAGGCTGGAGGCCTCTTGTTCGCCTCCCCCAAATGTGGTCTGCTCTTTGCAGCAGAAGCCCGGGATTCTCCCGTGGGCTCCGGTTCTCAGTTGGCACCGCGTGTG